ATCGAAGGAGATTGCCTCGGAAACAGCGTCAGCATGAATCTTCCAGTAAAGCCAATCGACAACTGGTCAATCGTCTTCTGGTGGAATCGAAATGGAAGTGGCTCGAACTCGTATTCAATGAACAGTGTCGTTGACTCGTTCGTTATGAGCACATTTTCACCGGCACAACATCGAGCAGAATGTTGCCATAACACCAAGCAGCATCGAGAATATGGCGGGCTTTTCGGGTGACAATTAAAACGTACCATCGGATCGGCGTATATGCTCTCTTCTGCCCCGAGCGTCTAGGCCCCTTCTGCGAGTGCACGTGCAAATGTGTGTCTAAAGGCAGCGTTTCAGACAGTCTTCGTGATGGTGTTCGGCCTGGCAGCAAACGTATTTTTCATCAATCCAACCTGAGTCATTGGTATCCATTCTCAAGGCGTTGTTGTCAACGCATTTGACTTTCGTAGAGGAGCCGGTGATTTGGGGGCCGAGAAGAGGCATCTGTATCGGGTTGGGGGCGACTGGGGTGGTTGAAAAATGGCAGCAACTCTGCATTGCCAGACGAATGGAGGCTGTCGGAGAGAGAGCATTTGTGCCGTGGACACCTGCAAACCGGTACCGTTTGAGCTCGTGCCGACGGTAGAGCCAAGCCAAGGGGCCAGATGGGGGCCGGTACAGGGTGTGTTTAGGTGTGATATCGAGCCGGCGACCGAGAAGACGGGAGAACAGGCCTGCCTGCCTGACTGGAGTATATAATGAAATGATGTACCGATTCGTCTATTTCCGCCCTGGCAACTGACTGGTTGGGCTGATTGACTGGCGCGAGGCGTAGAAACGGGACACGGTGAGTACAGGATTTCTTTCTTTTTGCCCACATTGGCCGGCCCCAATTTGTACATGCTGAACAGACACAGCATCACTTTTAGCATGACTATCCTTTCATTTTCACCAAGAGCCGCTGGGTTGACAAGACTAGCTGAATAAATTATCGCGTTCAAATGTTGAAAGTAGGTCGTGTTTGAGAGATATCCGAATAAAATGCGGGTTTCGAAGAAGCTTCTG